TCTCTCTCTCTCTCTCTCTCTCTCTCTCTCTCTCTCTCTCTCTCTCCCTCTCTTTCTGAGACAGGGTTTCTCTGTGTAGCCCTGGCTAGCCTGGAACTCACTCTATAGACCAGGATGGCCTTGAACTCAGAGATCCTTCTGCCTCTGCCTCCCGAGAGCAGAGGCCAGCAGCACCTCCAGGCTCGGGTCTTTGATTTGTGCCATATCTTCTTGAACAAGTCAGAATTTCCTGGAGGTTCAGATAACAAGAGATTTTGTGGACAGGGTTAGGGATGAAGGCAGATTTGGGTGTACAGGCTACCCTTTTTCAAACACATATGACCTGGGACAGATTTAACTTCGGTGTTAGCTTTCTCAGGTTTAAACTAGAGGTTCTGAGAACCAGATGAGACAGTCCGGGAAAAGTGGACATGTAGCAAATGCTTAATAAATGGTAGCCATATTACAAAATACATTCTGTTATAAAGTAATCTACCATTCCGTGTGCTGTGAGGCCCAAGTAGGAGGCATCCTGAAGTTCAAGTGGTTCCCGCCCTGATTTGATCTCTCTTCGTGCTGTTGGCTCCCTTCACCAGCTCTTATCCTGTGCCTCGTGCCCTTGAAGAAGACTCTTCAAATATATGAATGAACCTTGAGAGAGGCAGGGGGTGGGGTGGGGGGGAGAGGCCGGAAGAGATTCATTCCATAAGCTCTGTGACTCTGGGAACCTGACTAATATTACCGTCATCCGGAAGGAAGAGCAGGAAGTACTCTTGACTGCAGAGCATCCCTCCAGTCCTTCTTTATTCAAGGATTCAAAGACCGCTTTGGGGCTGGCAGAGGGCTCAGCAGGTAACGGAGCTGGTCACCATGCCTGACCACCTGAGTTCGATCCCCGGCATCGTCCCCAGGTTACCTAGGATGGAGGAGCAAACCTGCGAGTTGGCCTGTGATGTCCCCGGCTGTGTATGTTCACAGAAATCAGGACACATAATAACTTTTTGAAAGAGAACTCTCATTTTTCCTTTGTGTTGTCGTTTCTTGGCCCTTTGGCTAACATCAAATGTATCATTTGTGTCCTCCCAGCGAGGACACACATACCTGCCTTCTCTCCGCCCCCAGCTCTGGAGCAGGGCTTTCTCTAGCGGCAGCCCAGCCCACGGAAGCAAAACCAGTGTAGAAGCAACTGTAGAAACCATGGTCTCTTCGTCTGCACTAGACTGCTCCTGTCTTGTTGCTTCTTTGCTCATTCGTTCATTCATTCATTCATTCCCTCATTCATTCATTCATTCATTCCCTCATTCACTTAACACATTAAAGACCTAATGTGTGCCAAGCGAGGGGACTAATAAAACCCACAACTGCTGCCATCAGAGAACCTAGTAGGAAAAACAAAGATGCAAACACACAACAGGAAGGTGGTGGTTGTGTAGGTGCCAGTAAGCACTGCCAGGAAGGGGCTGGAGAGGTGGCTCCGTGGTTAAGAGCACTGACTGCTCTTCCAGAGGACCCAGGTTCAATTCCCAGCACCCACATGGCAGCTCACAACTGTCTGTAACTCCGAGATCTGACACTCTCATACAGATATATATGAAGGCAAAACACCAATGCAAATAAAAAGAAATAAATTAAAAAAAAAAAAAGAACTGCTGGTAAGTCACACACCAAGATGCACACCCTGATGGTCAGGTTGTCAGGGTTTTAAGGGGAAATACATGGCAACAATTAAAAACAACAATGAGAATACACCAGCTGCAAAGAGATTTATCTACGGTCTGCTACAACAGTTTGTTTTGTTTTTCAAGACACGGCTTCTCTGTGTCGCCCTGGCTGTCCTGGCACTCACTCTGTAGACCAGGCTGGCCTCGAACTCACAGAGATCCACCTGCCTCTGGCTGTCCTGGCACTCACTCTGTAGCCCAGGCTGGCCTCAAACTCACAGAGATCCACCTGCCTCTGCCTCCCGAGTGCTGCAATTAAAGGCTTGCGCCACCAAGCCCACTTCAGGCTTCTGTTTCAGAAGAGCCTTGTAAACCATGTTCAGAACTTCGGGCTTGGAACATCTTAGAGGGACCGCCTGCTGCCAAGCCCCCTGCCTGAGTCAATTCCTGGACCCACACGGTGGCCCGAGAGAGCAGGTTGTCTGACCTCTCCAGAAGTGTGCCTGTAGTACACACTCACGCCCCCCCCCCAATAAATGAATTAATGTAAAACTTGGGGCTTTATTCCATAGAATTTCATGCGTATTTGGGTGGGTTTGCTGGGGTTACAGGGAGGAGAAGGGAGAGGTGGGAAGGCCAGCCGGGTTGGCTGCAACCAACACCGGTCCAACAAGAATGACTAAGAACTGAATCCAAAGGACAGTAATGTGCAAGGGAGTTTTTTTTTGCTTGTTTGGATGGGCAAACATACAGTATAAATAAATAAATAAATAAATAAATAAATAAATAAATAAATAAATAAATAAATAAATAAATAAATAAATAAATAAATGTCCCCCTGCTCCTTTCTAAGAGCTGCGTTAAGCCCTCAGCCTGATCCTGTCTCAGATTTTGTTCCTCCGGTCGCAGTGGGCCGCACATCACACATAGGTGCTGAAGTCTGCTGCTTAGCGTGACAAGCGCCTCCGGCTTCCAAAGTCTTCTTTAAAAATCTTCCGGACTTGGGTTTTGGTCGGGGAGGGGAGGATGAAGCACAGGTCACGGCCGAAGAAGGCCTCATCCCAGGTGAAGGGACGGTTGGCGACATCGAAGCTCGTGGAGGTCCTGGGGCGGGCTGGGCGCCGGAAGGGCGGGGTGGGGGCGGAATCTGGGGCGGAGCTCCACGCAGAAAGGCTGGGAAGGTAGGGGCCTGGGAGGCGCCTCTGCGGAGGCTGCGAGCATCCTTCTCGGCCTGAGTCGGTAGGTGCGGGGGGCGGGTTCGGACCGGAGGGCGGGGCTTGGGGCCCAGCCCCGCGGCCGCGGAAGACTGCGGGCTTTTTGCCTCTGCAGGGGCGGGGCTGGGCAGGGCCAGGGGCGGGGTTTTAAGCCCAGCCTTTGGGTTCACGTCTCTGATTGGGCAGGGTGGGATCTGGGGCGGGGCCTAGGGCGGGACCCACTCT